TAATATACGTAAATGTATAAATACGTTCATATTTATAAATTCTTCCTTCGATAAATCCGAAATATTTGTTATCTCAGATTTCTTTAAGTTATATTGTTACACGACCTCGATAGTATTGTAGTTTAGTTTTTAGTTTAATTTGTTGTGGTAACGTATCATTGTTTCCATAGTAAGTTATTTTAATATTATTTTGTTACGATGTTAGCAGCACATTATTTCGATTTATACGTATTATTTGGAATTATTTTAATTCCGTTATTCGATCATTAACACTGTAGCCATTTACATACTTTTAAAATATGTATTTACGTGTGTATTTACTTGTGCATTTACATATTTCTACGCAGATTCTAATTGTTTCATTATTTCATTGTGATATTTCATACCCGTTGTTGAAATACATTATTTTAAAAATTCACTGTTGGAACAGTTACCTTTAGTTTAGTACATACTGTACTATAAATATGGAAACTTTAACTTCAATTTCATTATACTCCGTTTCAGGATAAAATAATTCCCTTTTTAAGTTATTTCAAATAGTTAAACGCCACATCAAAAAATATTTCCTATTCGATGATTTTTTCTTTATGAGACAACTTCGACTCCACTCCACTGTACATATGGAAAAAAATGCAAAGCACCACAAAAGTAACCGGTTTACATGTATTGTGTATATTGATACAGATACCAACTATCATTTGGCACAAAGTGTTCAGTTAATATTGTTAACGTGATGTTTTAAGAAATTATTTGCATATATATTACAAAGGAAAAACGTTATTTATAAGTATCTATACTAAAAAATCCAATAAAAAAATTCATGCTGATTAAAAACAATATTATCAGGATACATAATGAATTGTGTTGTTTCTTTTCGAAAAGTAAAATAAAATAAGAAACAATGTTAAAATACTCTGAGATATTAAAATTCTTTATGGAAGCTTCTATATTTCTACATTATGTTGTAACAATCGAAGTAAAGAAAAAATGTATGGAATGATTAAAATGGAATGATTTCATAAAATACTTTAAGTGACAATAAAAATTTCTGGAAAATTTCTCGAACAAATATATAAATAATTCGTCGAATGTAAATGCTTAAATTATCACGTAGAATACTTTCTGTCAGAGATAGTATGTTTGATTGATCAATAAATACTTATAAAATTATCATTCATTCCTCTTCTAAACTGTTTTCTCTGAATTTTGCTATTCTCCTGATTAATTAACATTATACTTATATAAAATTTCTCAATCAAATTCCGTCAGTTTACTTCGAGTTACTTTTCCATATAGTTTATGTTTGTTTCAATAAAATTGTACAAGATTACATACTGGATTAACCAAAAAATGTTCTCGTGTTCCTTAACGAAGTTCTTCATTGTAAAAAGTGCATCTATTGGTATCTAAGATACATGTGCAAATAACATAGAAACTAATTTTCTGCGTGTAGTACATTTAAAGAAAAAGATATAATATATTAATGAAATATTTACGCCTGTTTAACAGACTTTCATCCTTATGTCACGAATATTATTAAACAATACTTTGTATTCTAACTATTCTTGGAATACTATCATGGATCAAAAATGACCCGTATTGTCCTGCTGCGTTGTTATTATCAGTCCACCGTTCGAGGATTAAATCTTATAGAACTACGTATTGTCCGTTTTATTTGGCATCCTTCACTTTAACTATTCATTTAAACTATTTACTCTAGTTTCATAATGTAAACCCCACATTCTGGAAAACGAGACAATTTTTTGATTAACCTACACAGTGTGCGGTACAACAGAAAAAGTTTAGAAGAGTTACTGAATCAACAACATTCTTTAACCCGTTAACCGAGTATACAGTTTGACGAGTACACAGGCCATCTTGAAACTCAAAACGATACTTATAATTCATTCAACGATGAATTATTTATTTCTTCAAATAAACATATAATTTCTCCGTTTTGCTTGAATTGTTCATTAGAATATATTATAGGTGCATTTGCTTGCGTATAACGAGCATACACTTTATTATTCGACTTTATTGCGCGAAAAATGTGACGAAGCAAATTACATAATTCGTTGAACGAAAATCCACAGTTACCGGGTTAATTCTCAAAAGCAACCGGATACTTTGGTGGTCGAGTGTGCGCATAGCACTGAGAAATTCCCAAGAATGTGTTCGGCCGTAATCAAAACCATAAAATTTCTGTAGCTTTCGATTGGAACCGGACACGCCACTTTCTTCCGATAACGTAACGACGAATCGTTCCGCATGATATTTGAGTGACAAATCTGTTGGTGGATGGCAGATATCGCGTGCAGCATGTGTCATTAGAGTTTCCGGCTTTCCACCGAACGAAAGCGACGCGGACCGAAGACGGTGCCACGAAAATCTAAATTCATCCTTGAAAACGCATTCGCTATTATTGTCTGCGTTAACGATACGATCACTACGATTATTACCAAGCAAGCAATCGTGACTCTATTATTGTCGACAACATTACGCACGCCGTAAACTATTCCAAAAGCGTAACGGTTCTTTTTTTTTTATTTTCCTTAAAAAATAAATATTTCGAAGCGCACCTTTTAAAATCCTAGCAACCTTTAACGGATTTCTAACTTCTGCGATTCCTTATCCTGAACTCGTCGTTATATATTACGATTATTCTCGTTTATCGATCGTCGTACGCGTTGCCCGCAACGATATATACATACAAACATACATATATATGCGCATATGTAATAATACAATTATGTCTTACAATAGATGAGGTCGAATGTAATAAATTGTACAGTTGTGAAAGGTTACGTTTGCTTGTGAAGAAGGAAGAGAATTGTATTGAATTCGCTTTCGTTTCACTTGAAACTTCGTTTTTTGAGGAAAGTAAATTTGTTAAATTGCGGTATACGTTGTTAATTAAACTTTATAATTGTTTGCTGATTAATTTGCTGCTGATTAGTTTGCTGATAAATTGCTCACAAACTGTAAGTGATTCAAATTGCTTTCTTGGCCACGGATTTTTATGTTTATCGTTTATAAAAGTCTTCGAAAACGAAAGAGATAGAATTTTTCGTAGAATTTCATTCTTATTCTAATTTAGTGAAATCAGTAATAACGAGAATACAATTTTCTGTAATCGAAATGTCAATTTGCATAAAAATCCACGATCCATTTATAACAATCACCCTTGATGGTTAAACGTAACGATTTAGTTGCTTGAATTTATTTGACAAGAAAGTATCTACTCCCTGGAAATAATCATATAAATCCAACCATTTTATAGATTATATACAATAGCAGTTCAAGTAGACAATAATATTTCTAAAGGTTTTAAAAACAAATTTTCACTTTGAAAACTAACATTAATCTGTTATGTAACTTAGTGATAATGTATCTACATTTTTTCTTTAACATAAAATCGAATTATTGTTTCTTCCATGTTTTCACTCGTGAAATCAAAATTTATAATAAAATTACTATACCATAAAAGAAACCAGTTTAGTAAAGAGCATTATTACCAATTAAATCGATCAAATTGCTGAGAAATGAATTCTAAAAATACCATTCTACCTTGTCTTCTTTTTTTTCACAAAATAACTTTCTCAACTGTACGAAGAATTACATTGCTCTTCGTATATTTTTTGATACTTTGGATACTAACTCCTTCGTGAGTATTACGTTTCTCCGTATGCCGAATAATTGATACAATGTATTATGATACAAATGTTTCTATTAAAATCTCTTCACGTGCTTATTTAAAAAGACTACTAAACGAGTGACTTTCAATGTGAATGCTCAAAGGAAAGATGTTCTAAAAATGCGAACAATTGTACAAGAATTATCAATTTCACGTGCTGAAGACTTTGTTGCGTGGAAGTTTCGATCGATGAGGATATTGTGAACTGTGTTCATTCGACTCGTTAGTCTTTGTTGTTTCACTGTAAGCGTTTCTAACTATAAAAGAATACAATTTTGCGAGGAAAACATTGCAACCAATCTCACGGAATGTCGATACGGAAAAGCTAACGCGAATCAAAAAATATACTTCGAATAACACGAACTCGACACGTACGTATATGTATATGCGTATAGGTAAAACGTGCTTGGATTATCTGTGAACAATTCAGTTTTTCAACAGGGATGGAAGATACGGAAAGAATTGTTGCCTAAAAACTTTTCCGCTTTTTTGAGGAAAGCATTATTGATAGATCTAGTCTTTATATATCTCTTTTATTAAAAGAAAATTTAATTAACCAGGAAATCTTCACTATAGCTGTCTACAGAAAGACTATTATTGTATAGAGTTCATCTTTAAACGAAAAGAATTTTGTAGCGACAATTCTTGCATATCTTTAATCGCTTATGAGGTATTTAACTGTTCTCAGATAACTTGGGCACACTGTGTATTAGTTACAGTAATATGTATATAACTATGTAAATATAATATATATATAATATATATATATAACATAATATATATTATATATAATTAATATACTTTATATTATGAATCTATAACTCTTAGAAAGGTATCGCGTAAATTGACTAATCTCGTGAATTTCTGGGCAACGAAAAAATGGGCTGCTCGAATAATATTGATACAAAGTGCCCATTTGTGTATGTAACTTTATGATTCGATACTTAGGTGTATACAGTGAAGCGTCGATCGATCGTTTCTGATTTATACGTCCCCCTTTATTGTTACTATCATTTTATTTGTATAGCCACTCAGAAACGTTAACAGTGATCATATTTTATATAAAATATAGTTTTCCATTCTACGATAATTGAGATTCTCTTATACTTTCTTACATGTTTATAAAATAATAAAATATTTCTCGGTGTCTCCCTTCAAACTAATTTTTTTAGATTACTAACATAAAAAATTCAACATAATTTGTAGCAATACAATTGCAATGGAGAAATGTTTATTGTCTTTCGCGTAACATTTTAGAGTTTTCCCCATTCATCAAAGTTAAAACTAGATTTGACATTATAATATTAATCCTTATGTGATAAGAGATCTATAGATTGTTTCGTAAGTACATTTTCGACGTATGCTTCCCAGTAATTTGAATTTGAAACGAAGCATTTTTGTTTGAAATCTTTTCGCTGTTGCTATGTCCTTCGAATTTGTTGATGTAAAAAATTCATTTTATCCAAATTTCATATGTACATATTTAAATCATTTGAATAGTATTCTAACTTTTAGAAGATCCATGTACTCATAGCGTAATGTTATGATTTTCAATGTATTCATTGTTTATCAAATACTTTCCCGAGACTAACTTTCGTACGTAGCAAAATGTAATTTTATAGAAATTAAATAATATGTAAATATTTATATACGTACAGTATTTTCCCAAATAATTTCCTCAATTCGGTCGAATTGAAATTCATTGTCTAATTTTTCAATCATTTCATTTTCCCAGTGCATACGAACAATCCATTTTTATACGTATAATATAATTCAGTAGACGTTAAACAATATGTATTTATACACATATGTATATATATAGCACAGTACTTTCTCAAGTACTTTCTTTAGTTCAGTCAAATTCAAATCCTCTAATTTTTCGTTCGTTTAATTTTCACTGTGCATACGAACAATCCATTTGTTATACACTGCGCAATATAATTCAGTAGACGTTAAACAACATGTATTTGTACATATATAAAGTACATTTTCAAATACTTTCCTTAATTCAGTCAAGTTCAGGTCTTCTTCTGATCTGTTAGTCCGTTTAACTTTCATTGTACAAACGATCGACCGACGTTCAACTGTACACACGTCATTATGTATACTTCCGGAACGTATGTTTATATACATTTATATTGTATTACGATTCGCCCGCGAAACAATGCAATAGGTTGGACATCCTGTCGTCTCAATCAACGTATGTATCTTGCCATTCCGACAAACATTCGTTATAGAGTAACGAAATACATATACGTTTGTACATGTAAGTATGTGTGTCTGTGTATGCGTGTGTACGTGTGCTAATACATGTATAATTATACGAAGTACAAACATCTAGGACAATGTATATAACGCGGCTTGTTCCTAATTTTTCGAACTCACGTTCGTACTTTCATGAATATACTTTCATCGAATTACGTACGGTAGAACTCGATGTATCCGAACCGATGCACCCTTTATCCTAAGAATACTAGGATCCCGAATGAATCAATTTTTTTCTTTCCCGGCACGCCAGCGGTACTTAGGATCCCGAGCTAACACATCTTTATTCTCATGAATGTTTTTCTTCCCATTCCCGGATTTCTAAATCGTGAAACAATTTAACCTCTTCGAACACGGTATTTCGTATACATGCGTGAATATTATAATACCGATATCTAACCCTTTGCACTCGAGAGGCGACTCTCGATCGCCACTTGATTTGCTATAGCAAAATTATAAAGGGTAATTATGTATTATACAGACTACCTTTGTCTTGATAATATAAACACGTTGAATGCCAGAAATAATTATTATCCGAATACTCGATCAGAATTCATGCGGTTAGCTAACATTGGAATTTAATGAAGTCCGTCAGCTTTCTTTTTATTTGGAAGGTAGATCGTGAGATGAAAGCTATAGTAGCATCAGAATCATCTGGTACCTTAAAGGTCATTCTAATTGTATCCTTCCTCTATTTACAATACTGTTACATTATTGGACTAGTCAGAAAGTCTTCTCGCGCCTTTGAGCAAATTTAAAGACTGATTCGTTTCTCAACTGTGATGGATACAACAACTTTGTCATTAATAATTTATTGGAAAAAGAGAAAAATCCTACGCATATTCCATGCCCACTTTTGATTTAAAATAAAATAATTGATAACGGAAAAATGATATTTCATTCGAGTAATATTTATATTTTAAAACCTTCACCGCTAGTCTTACGTGTTATTGTAAAGCAAAGGGTTAAACTGTACATCGTCTATTTTGTTCGACAATTCAATAATTTAATATGTAACGTCAAATTGAAAAAGGAGAAGACACTATGGCCAATCGTATTGTTTATAGTACAACTTTGTATACATCGTTCGTCGTAATGTTCACGAACAAATGAAAAACTGACGGTACAGGAAAACGTGTTAGCTGAAGAGGTTAAATATCAATTTCCCCACTGATCCGTTCCCCAGTGCGCTAGGTGAGAATTCACTCGAAGAAATCAGGTCCCAACAAATAGAGCTCTACGGTACTTTACGTCTTATCGTACTAATACTTTCATTGTGTTATCACTTTCTTACGAGTATTCTTTTTATACATTTCAAAATTCAATTAGGTTGTCGCGCAGCTTGCGATTAGGTTGAAACCCGAAAGGCTTGGATAACAACTTTCGTCTAAGGTACGGATCGTACCTGGATAAACACACTAACGCGTCCCCAATTGTCTCGAACACCCCTCAGAACAGCGTTCCCCCAAATCGACGGATTAATTATCAGAACCCGCCATTCTCGTCGTTAAAATATTGACGTATTGATAATTAATTCGTTCTAACCATGGCGCGCTCGTTTATCATTAAACAAACCGGTTGTACTATTTCAAAATGCGCGGCCAGAAGTACGGTGCGCGCGCATGTCCCTTCGTCCAACACGCCCTTGACGACCGGCATTCATTTTCAATATTGGTTTCCCGTTTATTGCTATGTTTCTAAAGTTTTATATCTCGTTGAGGTCTGCTATCAGCGTAAAAATAAATCAGAACAATAGAAAATACCTAAAAGTTCCAGCGATCGTGCTGAACCGATTTCATCATTGCTTCCTCCAAACCTTCTAGTTATTGTCTCCGAAGAATTATTGTCAGCGAAGGTTTGGCTGCGTATTATTGTCTGCTTACGCTTCCCTATCAAAGAATAATTTCGTTCTTCGTGGAAGTAAAATCTTTCCGTTCTAGGGATCTTTCTTCTTAACAAGTGGTCATCGAGGCCACTTCCAGCATCGCTGTACGCTGCGGATAGTACCGTTCAACGATTTGGCCAATTTCATTTCAAATAATTCATTTCGACTCGCTTCATTGTATAAACGTCAGATTCCACGGCATTAAATCGATTTTTTTAACGTAGAAAGCATGCTCTGGTAGTTCTTATTTCGATCTTACCCTCGAATTTCGAAATAATTATTCCATTATTTCGATCTTTCTGTGCATGGACATTTCCTTCAAAGTGCATTTTGATATTTTCTCTTCTGCACTCCTTACGCATAGCTTTCTTCGTTTATCTTAAAAAAGTTTTGTCCTCCACAAGTTAACTGTCCTGGCCTAATTTGACTCATACTTCGTGAAATGGCCGTTTCACGAGTTCGAATTCTCATGCGTCCTTCGACAGCACTATACTCTGCACTCTTAGGTATTGTGATAAAAAAGAAGTGTCACTCTTTATAGGCTGCTTCGGAATATAAAGCCAGCGTTAGCTCGATCATGCGACTGAAAAGATGCTACAACCAATGAAAACTTGTTTGTCGTTCTTCCCGTATGCTTCTAGTACTTATTCGTTCTATTGACTTCGTTAAACTACCATTCTGAACTTCTAGCGCTGGTGTGCAATAAACTGAATACCTTCGTGATAAGATAAAACAAACCGAAGGACACGAATACATATTTTTATGAAATTAGAATAACAAAGGGCGTTTTGCTTCTATAACTTTCCTTGCGAATCAAATAAAGTTTCGTCGCAAGAAACACAAGTCGAAGCATTTCCTTCAGTCTATCTACCTTGATATGGTTTATGCGTGAATCCATGTAGAAAATGGATCAACTGTTTGAATGTCACAAGTAAAACCATTGGAAATGAAAGTAAGGAGAATGGTCGTCCGGACGAAATAAATTTCAGCAGGTTCGAAAATTAGAGCTGAAGTACCAGAAGCAGTTACAAAATTACCATAATCAATCAACCGAAGAGTCCATCGCTTGAAATTGACGATTTCCCTCTGTAATCGATCGGGCATCGATCAATTTATTTCCACTGCTGATTTTGCGTCACATCGTACGAGTAGTAGTCCGCGGCTGGCGGTTGTACTAGAGATGCATTCACATCGGTGGCGAAAGGATTGGTTGAATGGAACGGGTTGTTGCTATTGGTCTCTGTCGATCCGTAGCTTATTATGGGTGGTTTATCTTGCTGGCCATACGTACTGTCTGATGGTGGTGGTTGCTCGTAATCGTTCCAGTTATCGGGGGCATCTCCATCCATGGATGGTTGTTTCTGTAAAAGGCGTCGCTACATTTAAATAGTATTTAGGTAAATAGTCTACTTTATTCTCTACGACAAATAGGGCGATTCCGCGGGAGATGGATAATTCAATTACCTTGCATAAACTATTGATGGAACTACAATTGATGCGTTAGGACGTTAAAAATGTTTTATACGTTAAAAATATATTTTTTAGTGCGCCACAGTATTGTATGCAAAACTGTGCAGTATTTTTAAATGTGCTATGAGATGAAATAGGGTGAAAATTGCTGATATAGGCGAAGACATTAGTGACATATCCAGAACAATACGTACAATAAATTCGGATTGCATAGTATTTGGCGGTGGCGGGACAGGTGGTTTCGTTTGTCCGAATTCGTCCATGGCGTTCCAACTCTTCTGCTCTTCTACGCTAGGATCAGCCCATGGTTGCAATTCTCCGGAACAAAAGATCGCATAGAATGTTACACCGAAAATGTGAACACATGCCGCCATGATGAGAACACTCTTCCAACTCTGGGCATCCTGGAAGAAATTAAAATACCATTTACGTTAACGCACTCAAAATATAACCGAATAAAATTATAGTGTTCGATATCGTTTTACTGATATCGTTTTTATTGCCTAGTAAATCTGATGAAACGAAGTTTGTTTTAAACAGGCTTTATTTAATTAATAGATTCTCTTAACTGAGTGATAATAAATTAATAAACTGTATCCGAGGGAGGAATATTTTAAATCAGAATGAGTTTCTTTTTAAACAAGATTTACGGGATGGAAATAGTTGATGTAAACAAAAAAATTAACATTTGAATATTCATTAATGTCCCGTTGATTAGGACTTGTGCACATTTGATATAACACTGTGAATCTAATAAATACGAGTTTACAGTTAAAATAGTTATTGTTATTTCAATATGAAACAAATTGGTTTTGAGTTGTTTATATTTTTCAGTACTTCATGAAAGTAATAAAATTAGTTAAATTTAATATAATTTATTAATTAGTGACGTTGATATCGCTGCCTCATAATTTCAATCTTTTTCTATAAACGGTTACTTTTAAGAGTAATTTTAATTTCTCAATATACAAGAACATTTTATCAAGTAAAAAACGAAATAAACAAATACCTTCTTTTCTGTGATGTTGTCTACGAAGAATGGTACTAAGAGCCCAGCTATTGTTCCAATTCCATTCGACATTCCCATCAGAATACTAGCGTATCTGGGTGCAATGTCTAAATGGTTCACGTTGAAGCCGGATATAGCAAAGCCGCTACAGGCAACACCGAATGCGAGAGCGAAGATTGCCACAGTACCATTTCTGTGAACCGTTGCGCTTGCCATGATCAGAAAACAGATCGCTTCCACGCCAAAACCACCGCAGTTAAAGAGTTTTCGCACGTTAGTAGTTGACATTATCCCGCGTTTACGTAGATGATCGGCCAACAACCCACCAAACGGCACGACGAATGTCATCAATAAATGGGGAAGTGCTCCGATTACTCCAGTCTGTAGAAATAATTAAACAAACATCATTGATTTTTATATAATCATCTATTAACACGTTTGCTCTGGATGGAAATTACTTTCTAAAACGAGTGAATCGTAATTCTTTATTGTAACACCCAGTATGTCACGAAGCGATATTGCAATCACCAAGGTGATAATGTAGTTTGAAATCTGTCTTTAAACTTCCTTGCAAAATCTCAGAATATTTTTTAACTAACCAAACAATTTCTGTACAGAATGAAATTCAAACAAAGAAGGTAGTCAATTACTTACTACGACTAGTTTCATTTTGAATGCTTCTTCGAGGAACCGAGATTGATACAGCACCAAAAGATAGAAATTCCAAGATCTGCAGAAATTGGCTACGATAATGGCGTACACTGGCATAGATGTTAAGAACTTTCGCCAAGGTGTCGTGGCGAACGTCGGTATAGGCAATTGTGCTTGCCCTTGGCCAAGGGAGTCTTCGATATAACGAAGTTCTCGCATCGAGATGCAAGGATGCTGCGATGGCTTCTCGAAAGCCAACCACAACCAGAATGCGTACCAAATCAGCCCAACGACACCTGAAATATTTATTACTCTTATTATCTTTCAGTTTATAAGCTTCTTCACAGTCGTGTCATTTTTATAAATGTGTTTTATCATTAATTTCTCATATATAATACCGTTTATAATTATCTACACGACCATAAACGTTCAAAGCAATATAGCCGTTTGATATAATTATATTAAACTTAATATTAGCTATTTGGCATACCTATCTGATAAATCGATGTCGATTTAGTCAATAATCGCGATTTACAAAGCCAATAGACATTTTTATTTCAATTCGATGAAGTAGTTAAACTAATTCTCTTAAGATAAAATCTTAAGGAAAAACTATAATTTTTTAATAATAAGAATCATTAAACAAACAAAATCAAGCATATTCCTGATGGTCAAAGTTATTGTCTCATTGTACGTAATCTCTGTGTGTAATGTTAAATCGAAAGTGCAATGCATATCTTACCATAGAAATAAAATGGCGCCGTCCATCCGAACCATTCACATAGGAAACCCGAAATCGGCATTCCTATAACTAACGCAGCGTATGAACCGCAAAATGCTAACGTTGCCAATCGTGATCTTTCCAAGGGTGGTGCCCAATATTTCCAAATACCGTGGCACGCTGGATACGTGACACCCTAATTAAACAAGACATTTCTCAGAATGGTGCTAGTTGTAAAGTAACATTATTAGACTACAAAGTTTTATGCAAATAAAGGTTTTTTAAATTTCGAATCGATTATATTTAGATTATATTAAGTATTAATCCTTCTTGATTCGTCGATTTTATGTCGCATTTGAAATACTCTCATTCGTTATGAATCCATAAAACCTATAGTCTGAATATTAAAAACAATTTTATAAAAGCAGTAGACTGAGGCGAATCGGATCACAAGCTGAACCAAATCGGAATAAGAATTCAGTCTACATCTGTTATACCACAAATTATATTTCTCCCGTTCAGTTCCTTCTTCGCAAAAGATATAAACATTCATTCCCATTTCCTATTATTAATGACCAAGTATATTTACTTCTATACTATTATCACTAAAACTAGCGAGCATCCAGTATGCCTAACATATAATTTTTATAAAAATAGTGACACTAGATTTTTTAAAAGTTCTGCTGATATTCATTATAGTGTTTAAGTGAAACTATGAATTTTCAAAGTCATTTCGGATATTCGATACTCTTAAAATATCACTAATTGCAAAGTGAGAAATTTGGAACCATTCATTTTGACTGGAACAAGTAGTTCTAGTGTCAAATAGGTAATGTTCCGATTTGCTTTGGTTTACCGTACTAGTGAACTCACCTCTACAATTCCTTTTAAGATTTGTACGAGTATATCGACGATCGGGTCTACTTTCAATGCACCAGGTACCAATAAGTTCAAAAACGATGATATGGCAATCGCAGCGCCGAATATTTTGTTCGCTGGATAGAGCGAAGCAAGAAATCCTCCAGGCACCTGAGTCACGAAGTAACCCCAGAAGAACGACGAGTCCAAGGCACTCTCGACGGAAATTGTCCAGTTGAACTCGAGAGTGTGGTTGTCACCTATAGTACTATTCTTCATCGCTCCTTTCACCATGGCCATGTTACACCTCATACCGAACGAAATTATAAATCCTGAAACGAGTATTCGGCCGTTTAATTAATGCCTTCTAACCCGAATCTTATTTACTCCTATTAACTCTGCTACGTCTTCTACGTTTTCATTTCATTAACACGTTGACTGCCACGGTGGTCACCGATAACCGGAGCATCAAAATCACTCGAAAACAATGTTAATTTGTCAGACATCTAATATCGAATGAGTATATTTAATAGCGTAAATAACTAAATGACAGTCTCACGTAAGCATTTCGATACCAACTAATAAATTACTGCTGTTCTTCTTCTTTGCTACAAAAGACTAGGCCGTACACAAAACTCTGAAGGTTTTCGTGGCAGTCAACATGTTAACACTATTCTGCTCGTTTAATCTTCTGCGGTTTCGTCGTGTTCTGTTTTTGTTAAGAATACTTTAAATATGGAACTAGTCTAAAAAATTATTATTAGGCTATATGGTGCCATTTTTTGAAATAGTACTTCAAATATATAGAAAAATTGACCGTCCCATCAGGGTTAAAGCAAATGCATTGCCACTCTTGCTGTCTCACGGTTGCAATTTAATTTCGTGTAAAGACAACTGTGACAACTAATCTGACAGGCAACACATAATCCGATTACAAATTAAAATTAATGATTAAAATCTGTATTCAATTAGATACTGCTTGTAATTATTAGTTAGAATATGACGTAATCACTTTCATTTCAATTATGAAGTGGTGACAATTGAACATTATACAAGATAATTTGTTGTCGTACCAACGATTACATTTAATTCACCGTTAGTAATATACAATCAGGTTACATTTTGCCTAACTCTGTATGACACCTTGCGACTTTAAGGTCACATATTCGTATCACATATGTAGGAATAAATCTAACATTCAATATATAATATTTTCTTGGCCAATTTTTCTAAGAATTTCTCCATATTCCCTTCTAAACACATATTTTTTTTAGATGACTACTGGCACTGACAATGTGTATCGGTTTTTACAGGAATGTTAAGTCCTTGCCCTCTTCTCTCTTAAAATGTTTTCCTCCTCAATGACCCCCTTTCTTCCATCCCATATCCTTTTCTTCACCACTACTACTTGTTCTCAATTTTTCTCATATTCTTCTATGACTTGGTAGCATAATTAGTATTTCTATTTCCATTTCCATCCCCGTTTTCTTCCTTAGTCCTTTTCACCACTTGTTCTGTTTCTCTTTTCCTTCCCCATTTGTCCAGCTATTAACATTAAACGTACCATGACCGGTCAAATGACCGCTTTTAAAATTTGATTTAAAATTTTGCATTTCTTCTCGCCTGTTTAACTTCATTTTCATATTGCCCACTTAATCGGTTTTTCAAATGTCTTCTTTCCTTTCGTTTCTGTTTCCAATAAGAAAAATGTATTGTCTGATTTGTTTATCTTTATTTCATAGCCAATTATTTGACTGCTTACAGTGAAAATATGTATATGTAAAGTGCCTCTCAAACTCTTCTCTCTTTTGTTTTTAATCCTTACTTTTCACCCCATCTCACTGTTTTCCATTTTTTATCGTCTTGTTTAAATAGCATTAACACTAGAAACACCGAGGATTTAATACGATTGATATGTAATTCCTATGAAAATTGTAACAATAGATTATTTTCGGTTTCTTCAGACACTCATTATAGTATTCAAGTGAAGCTATTTATTTTCAAGATCATTTTGAATATTCAATGCTTTTAAGATACTAATAATTGCGAAACAAAATAATCGAAACCAGTTATTTTGACTGATACAGTAGTTCTAGTGTTAAGTAAATACTTCCATTGCATGTATTTCTTCGAAAACAATTCAAATTCGTTCGTTTCAAATGTTGAGTCTCACTGCTTCAGTTCTACAGTTTGCGACACCCCGCGTATTCCTCTATAACCGAGCTTAGTTTTTCTCTTTTTCACCCATTACGACGTATCGTTCACTTCCCTACCACTCTTTTAACCCTCCGTTTCTTCGCCTATTGCCTCTTCCATTTCATTTCCATCCTTCCACTTAAAACTTTCCTGCACCCGCCAGACACTACCATTCTTCGTGCTTTCCTTAGGAAAAACTCTGATGTTGAACTGAAGGTAGTGGAGAACTTTTATGAAAGTTAAAAATGTCCGGTTTCCTTAAAGAATTTTCAAAGATAGAATGTTCTTTTACCCTCTAACTTTGTCAAGGCAGTAAAAATAATATAAATTGTTACTGTACATCAAGTCTGCAAAAATTAAGTGCATTTAAAATCGAAAACTCCATAAGAATAAAATTCTTAAAATGTTGAAAATTAATATTCCGGTAAGTTAACTTTCTTCAGGTAACGATCGGAGTGATAATATCCATAGAATGTAAGATACATGTTTTCTAATCAAGAATCTGTTTTTAATAGGACCATTCCGTATTAAATCAGACCTCCTTCACACTCCCTTCTTAATTTAATAACACAACCTTATATCAATTGTAATATATCACGATATATATCAATAATATGTGTGCAGCAATTACAACACGTTAAAAAACGTTTTCTACCTCTGTAGAATAGAAAACATGTGGGCTAATAATTTACGTGCGTGGATGCGTAACAAATTTTGATACGTGTTCGCCTAGTTTGATAGAGTTCTTTTAACAGGTTGACTACCGGTAGTATTTATACTTGTTAGCTGGAGTGCTGACATTGTTTTCTCGAATATGTTTTGTTCAAAATAATATAGCAGTCTTAATACTATTATTTAATTTCAAGAATTATTCATTATTTTGTTAATCCTTTCTATTTCTAAAGTGTTTCATTGGAGGCACTCAACATTTTCTAATGAAACACAAACGACATTCTCTGAAACTGACGAGAAATCGTACATAGATTGAGGAATAAAACTGTTTTACTCAATATTTCACATATCGATGCATTATATAGTACAACGTTTAATATTAAATATCGAACTTTACAATTTTGAGAGGCGCCTCTGTAGTATAAAGGGTTAATATTTTAAAAAATCCGATCAGAATGAGTAGCAGTTAACCTGTTAAAACAATGTACAAGAAAAAAGTTCAGAAACTCACCTATACAGGCCAAAGATGCAATGGTGTATCTTTTCGATAAGCAGGGACATTCTGGCTTGCAGTAAGTATCGATATGACGCAGTGGAGGCCTTTCATGTTCTGGGAATGATTCGAACGAACCTTGTCTACTGTATCCTCTTTCGTCTTCTTCGAACCCCTTATTGTCCTTGCTACCCTCACGGGGCATTTCGAATTCCTCGTAGCCAGCATTGCTTCTTCTGAACCTGCCATCACACATACCATTATTAGTAAGTCTCGTTTATTTGAAAAGAGATTCATTTTTTTATATTTGTTTGAAATTTTGTACATTTGAGGACCTCGTTCATCATTCTTTCTATTTGACAATGTACAAAACGTTCTAACTTGTAATGGATACCTGAATCTTTACTAATAGTGACAGTAAGAAGAGGCAATGGTTAAGAAAATTTTCTATAATTTTCACGTGTCTATATTAATTCGTGTTTCTATAATTTTAATGTGTAAATGCTAATGCATGTTTCATTATTTTAACATGCAAATGTTAATTCATGTTTCTAGCATTTGTCATTCAGTGTAAATACACGACAGGAGTTCTGGGGTAAGTATAGATAATTAAAAGTTAATTATCAATAAACATATAAATAAAATATAAATATTAATATTCAAAGTAAGTGTAATCAACAATCTATTGCCACGAATTTATACGATTACATATCAATCATATTAAGCTTTCGGTAGTTCTGGTATTAAAAGAGCAATCGTTGCTATACATTTTAACATTTCAATTTTTGTTCCATTAAAATACCTGTTTCGACTGTATGGGATTTTGATGAGTACAGATTTAGTAACCAATATCTTAACAGACCAATCACAGAGTCACTCAAACATGAATGACTCATCTTTTTCTGACTCAAAAATTGATTTCCATAATGGTTCTTTGAACGAATTACATTTCATTAAGATCTCTAAGATACAACAAAGTAACGCTTTGTTTTCTGCTTCATCAAATAAATTACTTCAATTCTGTAAAATTTCTATTAGTTCCACTTTAGTAGTCAACGTTTTAACCCATTGCCGTATGATTTTCTTTTCCACTACGCTTGACTAACTGACAGCCAAAATTCAGAAGAAACATTAAAAAATATTTCATTTATTGTAAGTACATATCAATTTTGAAGCTGAAACATTGAAAATAGCAGAACAGTTTTTGGCTTCGATCCATGTAAAGTAAGAGACATTGATTTTTATTAAAGTAATCTAAAATTCTTCACCAGAAATCTCACTCGTCATTATAGGGCAAAGTGTTAACATCTTGTGTTGGAAAGACATATTACGCGCGTTGTTCCAAAATTACCAATGACGTCTTATACTCATCGACTGTCTTGTTGCATAACACTTACGTACTAGATTGTTTTATAATGTATCACTCTATGGAAAATGATTAATAAATAAAATTAATATGCTCAAAACACTTCACGCAACACTTTGCCAAATCTATGAATCAATTTCCAGCGCACGAGGTTAAGGATATCATGATTTCTGATGATCGTTCGATATTCGTACTCATCAAACAAAACAATTAGCTTGTATGTACGCAATGGTTGCGCGTCCATTTGTGCGCATGATCGCATTCGGATGCACCAGTTAATGATACTGTTAAACGATTTTTCATCCGTCGTTATATGATGCACGAGCATGCGTAACATTACCCAGCAAGTTTTTGCGATGCCTTTGACTTGATGGAATCGAAGGCCCCGAGGCCCGCCGCCGCAAATCCGGACATTTTCCAATTATTGGGGTTGCTCTCAGGCCGGAAATGGTTGCAGTAGTAATTGGCAGCCCCTAAAGCAAAACAATTCACGGAATCACATTTTTTATCGAGACTCTACCGGAAAAATTTCTTTCAAAGTTTTCTTCAACAACCTTAACCCCCTTTAACAGCTTGGTCCAAAATTAGAGCACACATTTTATGTATTTCAATTATCTACAAATAATATAGCTAAAAGCTTAATAAATTTGAATCAGCATTTGAAGCTATTCGCATTCTAATAGAATCTTCGATTGAATTTTCTGCTTGAGTCTAAGTATTGCACATTAGACCATAAAAATCTGTATTTGCTTAAATATCTGAACTATTTCATTCTGCCGTGACATTGTACACACAATTATTATAAAGTAAATTAGAAAATGTACATTTATGTTATATTTACTTGGGAAGATATGGAAAATGAATTTTACAAACTTGTACATTTCAATTGCTACAGATTTTCTAAACTTCAATTGCATATCAAATAAGTTTCTTATCGTGCAAGAATCTCGATGAATGATCGGTTCAAAGGAAAAAACGAATTTTTCATTAGAAAAACATTATTCTTCCACTAACATAATTTCCAATTTTACCCCTTGAACGCTGATAATTAGAAATTCCGATCTATCTTCCCTTTTGGCTGTATTTTCTCCTTTAAACGTCTACGCCTATATCGTGGCATTTCTCTGTATAGAGAGTCACAAGGGGAAGTTCAGAGTAGGGGTGTTTATTTGGAGTGGTAGTCTCTCCAACCCTAATCCTCGAATTCTCCGGGGAACGTCTTCGGAGGGTGGAAAATGCGAGAAGAAACGCTCCGGCTGTCCCTGGGTCGTATTTTTCATTTGAGCTTTTCACCAAAACATTACGAGGGTTGGCTTGAAACTTGATTAGTGTTAAACGTACTGTTTCAGCATTAACGTTAAACGCTTTTACCCAGAAGAAACGTTGGAAGAATCATCGATAAACTGTGGGTTTCAACGTATTTCTATTAAATACTACTGCAAAAGAAGTCATAAAATGGAAATCAAAATTGCATTCGATATTGTTCTTGCTGCGATTATAACATTGTAATATTATTATACAATATATAATATAATATATTATTAATTATATATTAAATAATGATTATAACACAAAGATTATATTTAGTACAAAAATTCACATTCAATTCATCCAAAATATGAAAGATGGACGAAGCAAGGCAATTGGAATCTAAAAAACGTCGCATCATCGCGAAATATCTCGTATTGTTAGAAATTTCTACCTTTCACTTGAAGTTGGCGTGATCTTTGTCCCGCTGGGTTTTATGGGACAGATCGATCGAAACGTTTCCTGTTTCGAACCCTGAAGCGGTGATGCCTACACATGATGTCCAAAACAAAAAATGGCAGGCGCACCGTGCGTCGAGTCGATTACAAAGGGACGTATCGCGGGACAATGGCACTCGGATATTAAAACGGCACGTGACAGACAAAAGACGCAAAATGCGCAGCACGTGCGTTAACGAATCGGGGTGGAACTGCGAAGATGAAAACGGCCGATTTCACTTAATGGACTCGTTGCACTCATCCTTATCGGGGATGCAGTCCCCTCCGGACTTTCTGCGGCATTGCTCTTCACATGCGTTTCAACGGCCCCATAAAATCTACTTGAATATTCAACCAAACACTCGTTGAATAACTTTCTTTCCTCTCGATGATACTAGGTCATCCCATTATTAATACCTTATTAATTTTATATATTTTATAAATTCGTTTTACAAATTTATTTTATGAAATCTCATGAATTTTTTCATGGAAAACCATAGAACTTTTTTGAAATAGTATTGAAAAAAGTAATCGAAAAATTGGGGGAGGTCATGCACAACAAAGGTCAATACGTTGACGATTTATAAAAACGTATTTACTTTTTAGACTAGAGGTTAGAGTAAAAAATTGATATTATGTATGGGGTGACCTAATATTTATCTGTTCAATAGTAACTATATTTAATTTAATATATTTATTTTTTTCTGACAAGGAATGAAGAGGTTTGTGTTTCATCTCTTCACTTCGAAATTGTCATCGAGTGTCTGAATTTTATATACGAAATTGGACTGAAAACTATATTTTGAGATTAGTTTATATAACTAATGAATTCATCATGAAAAATAAAGACAGATTAAACAATCCTATTGCAAATTAAATGATCAATGAATTCGTGTTCTCGATAACCAGGCGAACTGATCTCGAAAATATAATGTTCGTTTAAATGTCTCAGTACATTTTAATACTCGAATTTTTATTTAAAAAATCAGGCCATATAGTATGTTACAGATTTTGCGAAAACTTGTCGGTGAAACGATTGAAACCTGATTATACCAAGTTATTCCTGTCTTCTTGATATTTTCAGACATCTATAAAAGGATGAAATCGAAAATTCGTTATATTTAGAAGCTTTTAAGAAAAAATAGGTCTGAACACAGAAGCCGAGTGTTCAATGCCTTTCCTCGCCAGATCAATACGAAAAAGTCGCTGACATTCTTTCGATTTCGAACACCGCCGAGATCTCAATAGAAAAACCAATCTCTCACTGCACTTATGCAACATCACAACCCCAGCAAATCAAAACTGTCTCCCTGAACCCTTCAACGAATGATCACTTTCACTCACGAGCAACTGATAGACGCGAAAACTGGGAAGCACAGTTTCATCACCCAAAGACCCCGAGGTAACCATTTCGAAGCGTACGTCAAAGAACTTAAAGAATCCAATAATCCTCGACCAGGTTCGAATTTCCTAAATACTTTCAGCGATACTCTTTGAACGAAAAAAAGATCCACACTTATAACACTGAAGCATATCACTGTGCATATCGATTATCGCCACGAACGTCTCCAGCAGAGAGATTCTCTTCTTGGAGGGTGCGGATAGAGCTTCTGAACCGCCCTTTCACGATCGAAGGGTCCATTTTCCCTCGAAACCGAGATCGAAAATCGGCGAAAAGCGAAAACAACGTGGAACGTGAAATTGCGGCAAACGAACAATGTTGAAAGGCAAGAAAAAAAAAATCATAGTAACTCACAACTCACCAATAATTAAGTCCAGATATGGTTACGAGTGGAGCGGGTAGCGGTAGCGCGCGGGGTACGCGACGGAGAACGTCGTCGACGTCGCCTGACGTCGTCGGCGGCGGCGTTCCAGCAGCGGCAGGGTACCGCGAGCTCGGCTGCTGGTCACAGCGTCCGCGCAACCCGACGTCGCGACGCCATTGGCCTGGACGCGTCGACGCATCGATACCGCTGTCCAATCCGGCCCGGTTGCAACCCCCTTTAGATCGACCCCAGGCGGGGCTTTGTACCCCGGCACGGACTTTTACCAACAATAAAACGTTACGCAGGAACAGGAGTCGTAACAGTATTAACGTTAATGTCCGTGCATCGTCGAGGAGACAAGGAAAACGCAAGGGATTCCCCCGGACTTGCTTTATGTAACAGCTATAATTTGGGACTCGGTGCGTGGGGTGTCAACTGGTCACCGACTTGCGGGGGTCACGATTGCTGGAAAATGGGCTGGACGAATGTTGATCGGTCTGATTTATCGGAATACACCCGTCCCTTCGTTTACGCGGAACCTTTTTCACACAATCAATTGTAACAATCTTCGCGAGGTATTCACTTTTTACAGTAGAAGTTAGAGTAAAAAATGAACGTTATGTATGAGGTGACCCACTATTTATTTGTTCAGTAGTAACTATATTTAATTTAATATATTCATTCTTTTCTAACAAGGAATGAAGAGTTTTATTGTTAACATATTCGCGATCGTCTACTAATTCACGTTTTCTCGAATATTTCCCTTCGAAATAGTTTATTCTTACGCTCTTCTCCGTTTGCGACTTCTTTAACGGAAAGTTTCCTTTTCAAACGACTGATCGTTATAAATCTAATATTTCAAGACAAACTTTTTCATTTTCGTCCCTGAGTTAACGTCGGAAATCTGCTGCAATTAGCTTGAGATTTTCTTCATTTTCACCGGCGATAAGTATTAGAAAAGTTAATACGCGATATAATTCGAGACTCGGTGCACCGGTGTCAACTGGTCACCAACTTACAGGAGTCGCGATTGCTGAAAAATGGGTTGGACGAATGTTGGTCGGTCTGGTTTATCGGAGTACAGGCTATCCCTTCGTTTACACGGATGTTATTTACGCGAGTCTCTTTTTTAAATTGTAACACTGTTACTTATACGCCACATCGATTTACGCTATCCAAATTTAACGACACCGAATAAATTTTCCTTTGGTTTTCTGAAATGTTATTACGATTCTTTTGTTAAGCTATGTGAGATACATATGTATTTCTGGAACGTACACCAGCTTTTTTCAGTATTTTGTTTTTTTTTCTATTGGCACACTCTGTTTACGCGATTGTCATTCGCGTGAAACGAATCCGCGTAGAACAGATACTCCGCGTAAATGGAGGCACACGTGTTGTGTCAGACACAAAATATTGTAATGATAATTGTATTGAAGCCAGAAATTGCATAAAATACTGTTTAGTTATTTTTAAGAAATAAGAGATAAGAAAAAAATGAAATAACTTTCTTAATTTTGTTTGACGCTTCTTCGAAATTTATGTATCGTACACGTAACTGTTCCCATAAGAAATTGCAACAGTACTTTCTTTTTGTTTTTATTACTTATGTTGTTTTTGCGCTAAAATATCACGAATATTCAATAAGCATAAAAATAAGACTTGTTCAAAGATGTTTACTTCAATTTCACATTCAAACCTTAATTATTTGCTCATGAGTAATTCTAATCGGACAAATATAATCTTGTTTATAAATGTTTATTCTATCACTATCATTTAAAATAAAATATTTCGAACTGTATCGTCTGTCTTCTGGGTTTCCTGTTCGTCGATGTTACAAACTTATTTTTTAAACGAATGAAGGGTCTATTACCTAGTCTTCCAAGTTTGGAATTACGAATAATATTCTCCTTCGGCATGTTATGATATTGGTTTCATATTGATCATGGTTTCAATTACAAAATTTCATATTTTTTTATATATTTCTTAATATTATATATTTATATTCAGATTTGTATACTTACATTTGTATTTGTATTTATTTTTGTACTAAACGGAAATCAATGCGGTTGCCAATTTACGCACCTCAAGTGGATCTCATCCCCGTTACCAAAGAGAGCACGTTAACCCTTTAGCTGCAACAGGACTGCCCGTGAAGCTATACATTACGGCAAAGGCTGATGCACACTGTACGTAATAAATGTAACATATACTACGATTTAACACTGGTACAATTTTCCACTATGTAATTACTAGTCTGCGAATTCTTATGCATTCATGGGAAATCTGAAATGCATGCAATATAAAGAAATATGTAAAATATCCAAAATGTAGTGTTTTTTTGTTGTATTCTCTAGGAAAAAATATTCCCCATTGTAATTCTGTTTTTCTAATTATATTCTTAAAAATTTGAATTTGCATTCAGATTCACAGTCTAGTAATTACGTTAGAGTGGACAACAATGTATACTGCTATGGATGACAGAGAAAGAAGCGAGTCACTGTGGTGGTATATCGTTCAAAGAGATGGCGTTTGCAGAAGCCACGATTAAGGGCGAAAGAGGGAGTCGTACACTTCTTCCAACTTTGTTTTAGTTTTTCTTAATCAGTTGACACTTGATCTTGAGCGCCCGCAGCCATCTCTCGACCTTTAGCATTTAAATAAATCACTTAATCCGTAGAATTGGAATAACAGTCTAATCCTGATCCGTATTCGGTGATGTATTATATTAATTAGCATTTAGATCGCAAGAAGCCTTGTTTAGAACATATAGTTTCATAATATGCTTTTGGTATAGTCTTTCTGTACAAAAAAAATGACATTTCAAACTGGAAATTTTTATACTCACTGTGAGTATTAATAATATTTATACTTATATTTTATATTATATTTAAATATAAGTAAACATGAACATAGAAACAAAAAATATATTACTTTTATTAACTTTTATTAATTTTACAAAATCTGGTAATCATTTAACTATTACGCGATCAAATGCATTTTTAGTGTCGGTTAACATATCGAATTATTGTATTACGCTAAACCTACGCAACATTAATAGAGCCATATTCTCTAGTCAATTTTTTAATTTGAAGATAAACGTTTAAAGTTACTTATGACTTTATTTCATGTTACTTATAACTCGATCAATGAAACTATGATTAAATGCAACATGGGACAGCCCTTTAAATTTCATAGGTCATTCATTACAAGGAACACGGGCACAGAAAATACTCACTAAAAATATTCTAAGGAATATTAAATGAAAATGTAAAATTAAATAAAAAGCGAGTATAAAAATATTAAGAGAAAATTATATCGTAGAGCTTATTTCGTAATTTTGGAGTTTTGAATTTTATTAATTGTTTGAGTTACGTGTTTCTGATTATAATTATTAGGATCTCTCCTACGTTTAATAAATATGTACGTAATATTAATCCGACAACATAAGAGTTGGTATAAAGTTAAATGACCGAAGAAAAACACCGAATTTTAATTTGTAATTTGACCGATCGCGGTATGTTTAATGTTAAAATCAAAGTGAAGGAACGAGTAAATACAAAATTCCTAGTACATACTTATATGAATCAGGATCGTCACGAAATAATCTATATATTAACAAAAACGAAAACGTTTATTGCAAAATCAGTGAAAAATGATTAATTATATAAATGATTGACGATGTATACATAAAAGCAAAAAGATTCTGTGCGGTTGGAAGAACTGTGACAGTAAGTAGTATAAAATTCTCGAGTTTCCGTTATAGTATTAACTTCATGTATGCAATTATTCAAAAACTTTTGTTATAAATTTATGGCGAATCCCCAAATTTTGAAATTCCAAGATTCTTTCTACAATCATCGCACAAGTAAGTACAATAAGTTTCCACAACTCGGGTAATTATGTCTGGCAGCTTTCGCACAGAGATATGGCCGATTTAAAGTTGACTGATTTCACTGTGTCGGGTATACGCGAGAGGATTTTATTTGGCCGTCTGATACAGAAGATTCTTTTCGGTATAGTGGGTCGTACACAAAATTAGGAATTTTATATTATGATTAATACCGAATGAAATGATATTTCCTGTAATATTTCATTTTATCCTCTTAATTATCGATTTTCCCTGTTTTCATGGACTCTTTATACGTGTCGTTTGATTCATATAATTTTGATACAGTTCTTTTCTAAATAAAGAATATTTTACACTTAAATACACATTTATCTGTAAATAGCAAAAGGTAAGCAGTTTCAATAAAAATCAAGAATTTGTATATTATTCTATCTAAATTCTTATTTTCTCTATATCTTGTAGCAATACTTATTATAGTATAAAATTAATCTAAATTGTATACTCTTATCAGTATTATTCATATACGGATTTCATATATTTCTGTTCAACGGTATTTATATTACGGACCATGGCAAAACAAAAATTCCGTTGAATTTCGACACCGCAATTATTTTCGCTGACGTGCAAAAACATCAATTTACGTTGAACTTAAAATTGTTTAGGTCGATCTTATTTGGCAAGGAAACAATCTCCCGTGACTTGAAATTTTGCACAACGCTGGTTCGTAAGGTTCGTCTGTCATTTCTGCGGGTGAAATCAACAAGGGGCGCGAATCGAGAGGGACAAGGGGAAAAATCAGGGGTGCTGACAGCTCAAATCCTTCGCTAGCTGTTAGGAGTCGACTTGCATTGTTACAAACACAGAGTAACTGGTATGGGCACCCTCTCCAGTGGTTGCCAGGAAATATCGATCTGGCCAGAGGGATGGATGCTGCTGCTCTCAATGGTTGGTCTACAATACTTTATCTCCTCTGCGGAGCCCGCACGCCTCGAATAACTCGGATTTCACTATCATTTCGTCCGCGGCAAGAAACCGGCAGGAAGTTTTCGACCCCGAATACTTACCAGCCATTCAATTCTGCTGCGATTCGTATGTTCATTAAATGGCTCTAAACAATATTCCCCAATTGGTTATTAATTAAAAAATTATTCGATTGAAACGATTCATAATTCTTTGTTCTAAAGAGATATGAATAAATAAGTATGGTGTTTTAGTAAATTTGATGAACATTCAATTTGTTTAACAGAAATAAATGAACGGGGGTATTGTAACTTTGACATTTGATTTCTACTAAATCTTGTAAATAAATTTGTTACGAACATTAATATGACGTGCATAATGTTTAAGACTATTAGGCACTTGTATATATTTATATTTGTATTTAATAATGCAAGAAATGGTGCAAATAGAAAGAAAATTACAAATTTATTTTCTTATAAAATAATATTGTGATATATTTTTGATTCGTAAACTAAACATAAACTATATATAAAATCTGTAAAGTAATGCAAAGATCCTGTAGAGTAAATACATAATTAGTACAAAATTTAAACATTTCTTGTTCTGTTAAACCTCGTTAATCAAGTTATGTTTTCCCCAGAAAATAGATTTACGTGTAAATACAGATCTTTTTGGCACAATCTTGACGAACATCCAAAACTGAAGGAAATTTATTTACCCCAGTATTTTTCATACAATGTATTTTAGACAATCGAGAATATCTAACATATGCAATATGTATGTAATCACTGTTTTCATATTAATAGATTGCGGATCTTTGTACATTTACAAAATGTGCAAATTTATAAAATATAAAGAAAATATATAAAATATAAATGTAAACGAATAGTATATCGTTTTTACCATAAATAATCTTCTAATCATCAACAAACATTTTTCTTTTATTCAAATTCTGTTAATATAATCTACGAAAATTAAGATTTGCATAAAGACCCGCTGTCGGGTATTGGAGTACACGATTAATATAAAATATATCATAATAGCTACGTTGAGCTCGACCTGACTTCAGGAACGTCATCCGATCGTAACCTCTTGATTAATGTATTTTTCACGTGCCTACAGAGTGCAACATATTGCAACAATCTTAATTTAAAATCAACGTAAATATAGTTCACGTATTTTTCATAGTCGCGACAGAAAATAGCAAAATCCTCATCGTGATCTGCTCTAGATTGAAAATGCCTTCTAAGTAACTTCAAGTCGTTGAGGTTCAACGCGTTCTCTGTTCTCCGAAACGAATTATTATAAGGGAGTTTCTCGTTCTTAATTTCGTCGTAAGTATCTGTGGAAGAACCGCACTTGCAACAATTTTCTCGACATTTCTTTAAGTCTCGTTTGGAACGTAAATTCTGCCTCTTTTCGCGAAATACTTTGTCGAGGTATGAGTACTCTTCTGCCAGGTGTTTCTTATTCGGATTTCTTAAACGCTGAAATGAGCTGTCCTCGGCGAAAAACATATTCGTAGAACTATAAAACAGGTACGGAAATAAGGAAAAAAATTATTTGAAATTATTGAATTTATTCTTATTGTTATTATTTTTTTTCTAATTTATTGAATTATTTATAGAAAAAATATTTCTCAGATTTGACGAAATGCTAATTGTAAAAAATACATATTTTACAGTAACTTAGAATTAAAAATTGAAATTCCTTTCTGAAGTTTTGTTCACTGAGAACGATTTCCAACGTTATACGAGATACAGAGATTATTTGTTAAGGGATCTTTTTGTGATTCTTAACTTAAATAATATTTTTACGAATTGCTAACGATCTAAATATGTAGACGTAAATTTCAAATTACATCAATTAAAAATATTGTTATATTGTCTTTGTTATTTTAAAAGTAAAACTTGAAATTGTCTATAGCAGAAATGCACAATTTGCAGCCTGTTTTGAAACTTTTGTTATTTGCGGATTCCTTGCAGTCCATTTAAACCCTTTTTTCAGAAAATTCAATGAAAACTGTTGCAACAGTAACCTCACACTACTAATCATCACATGAAATAATCAATTGCTTCATTGTATCTATATTTCTCTTTCTGCCATTTTGTTTTTGTTCAATATTTTACTGTGAAGGCAATACCTATACCTAAAAACTCTATCACTACACAATATCGATAAAGATGACCTCTAATTTCTAATTAGAGTTCAATGTCTTCAAAACAAGAAACTTATCACCTCCTATAATAAACCAAGTCTCAAAGGAATAAATAACAAAATAGAAAATCTAATATTCTCAATTTTTACATACCTATAAGCAGTTCCTACGCTCTTCGTTTCCAAATTCCTTCTCCCACCATTCTCCCTCCTACCAGTTAAATTATACGTGTCCATTAATTTTGTAACACGCTTCGGACTCAAAACCTTCGAAACCTTAGCAATCCTGAATTTCTCGAATAAATCCCCTCGAAACATACTCCGGATGTCTCTCTTCTTAACAACACGTTCCAAGGTATCTTTCTTACTACCCCAAACATTGCTTCTAGTCTTCTTCTTCTTCCTAGTCTCTCCATCTTGCTCTTTTGCAACGTATCGGTTTAAACGATCAACGGAACAGGTGTTACGAATCACATGTCCCTCACTCAGTTTCCCACTCGAGATGCTGACGAAGTATCTCTCGCTCCTGAGGAACGTCTTCGACGTGCTGGTCCCTCTGTCACGTTGCTCCAGCAGTAGTCTGCGAAGTTTCCTGCGGATCAAGTACTTCAATCGATCGATGGACGCTGCTGGGAATGAGCCGCAGAGATAACCGGAAGCGGCGCTGCGGAAGCGATTCCTCCGAGAACATCTTGTATAATTTCGCACTTTCACGTCGCGCCGCGATTCTCTCGCGCAATCAATTTCCCGAAGATCCTGCGTGGAATATGAAGGCGCTCGGATCGTGGAACGCATCGATTTCCCGCGCAATCTGGTTCTCGCTGACGATCGGCAATACAGTGATCCAGGTCTCATGCGCCTTTCACGACGTCTAACACGCAAACCATCCTCGGGGCTATACAGATTCGTCGAAACGTTTGATCGACAAGAAAATTGCTCTGTGCTTGTCCTCCCGGCAGCCAGACTCCGTCCGTTTTCGCAAATCTCCGCGCAAGCTCGGGAAATATTGCTTGGACCGTTCGAAACAGTCGGCAATCCTCTACCTATATTATTGGAATCCGGCATCGCGTTACAGTTCGATGATCGAGCAATAGAAGGATTGCGTGTTTCTACCACTCTGGTAGGTCTATCCTCAATCGACGATGTTTTAGCCACATTTTTACCATCCATCGTTTTGTACTTCGACCGTTGACCAGCAAAATCGTTCAATGGCGAAGTATTGCTAAATGGACCCTGCGCGAAGAATATTTTGTTCTCCTTAGCGCCTTTTGCCTTAGGTTTCAAAGATTCGATTGACTTTCTGTTATTCGCTACGGCTCCGTTTGAGGGTTCTTTAGCGGCAGTTACCTTGGATTCAATGGAAATGGTGAAGTTTTCGGACTCGATCTCGATTCTCTCCGCGTCCGTGAGATCCTCGCCGCAGCAAGAACACTTAGTGCCACAGCTCGCTTCGGTATAATTGGAATTCAGCGAGCAAATAGAATCGGCGCTGTATTTTTCAGCGACCTCCGCGCTGCGCTCTGCTACCGTATCTCGTTTCTTCGGTTCCGAAATACTTTGTTTTATCGGCAAATTACTTTCCTCCGTCTGGATGACGCCGTCTTCGTTCCGCTGAACGCTACTTTCCGCTTTCACGGCGGCGTTCAGCACTTGCGATACGGACTCCTTCGTTCTCGATGGACCCTTCTGCGAGCAATACGATTCGACGCTGCTTTTCTCTGGATCTTTTCCCCCGATACTTTGGGGTTTCGGATAATTTAAACGTTCAACGGTTTCCTCTGTGTTAGCATTATTCTTTGTATTAAGAACGTGACAAAGGCATTGCTGCGGATTGCAGATTCCCGTGTTTGAGCAATTTTCTCTCGGAATCTTTCGCTCGTCCTCTTTCAAACTATCGGAGTAACGACTGGAATTTGAATCGGATGATTCTGCATTATTTTCTATCTTTCCTGCGGTAGACTCGTTGCTACGCGTTTCTTGTTTAATCATCGTTTCAGTTGGTTGTTCGATACAATTATCCTCAGATTCTCTATCTTCCTTTTTATCAAAACTCAAACTATTAACATTACCGCAACATGTTACATCCAATCTACATATTTCGCTGTTATCATCGGTAGACGATTCTTCGACTTTTCGGGCATCAATCAATTTAAAGGAAACTTCTTTTTCCGGCTTCCTGGTCCACACCAAATTCGCCTCTTTGCTAAAGACCTTTCTCTTGATGCGTGCATTGATTTCTTCGTCCTGGCTCGAAGTGCAATCTTTCTCATTCGTGGAACTGTAATTCGAGCGAGGCGTACGAAAAACGAAGCTACGCGCTCCCTTGTCGAATTTTTCGTGTTTCTCGCTGCCGTTGGTACAGCAATCGACGGAAACAGAATTCCTGTGATATTGAAACTCACCACATCGAGAACTCGAATCTTCGCAGCTGTTCGTGTGTTTGCAACGCGGTTCGCGTTTCGGATGGCTGCGACAGGTCGGTAAACGAGCCAAGAATAATCGAGGCTTAGATGTTCTTGGGCGGCGAAGGTTCAAATCGATATAACCCGGTCGAATCTCGCACACCAGACGCAAATCTTTCACCTCCGTGCTAGCGAGCTTCTTTAGGATCTCGTTCAGACAGGAACACACGTTACGAATTCCATTTTCGAATTTTCTTTTCATTAGGATTAGACAGGAGTCCGACAACGATGGATCGGCCTCGAATATCCGAACGATCAGCTGACTGGGTCTGCAGGGTATAGATATATTGGTCACTTTTATGGGACTCATAGTTGAATCGTTAACGTTTCTGTTTTGATAAATGAATGTTTTTAATTTCGACTGTTTTCGTCGAACTGTATAATCACGGTTCTGTGGAATCGTATTAAGAGAATTCTTCTTGTGTTTCCTCTTCATATTGTCGTCGATATTGCAGGAACAATCTGACATGTTCTCTCGGGAACTTGATTTGCTGTTGTGTAATCGATTTTGTTGATTTCGTGGAAATCCTCGGTGTCTTTCGCAGGTTTTCTTTGAACAAGAGCCGACTTCTACTTCTAAGTCGCTGTTACAAGTATCCTTTAAATGAGAGTTTCTTGGCGACGTTTCGAAAATTACGTTGACTGATGCAGTGTTTCTGTAAGAAGAATTCGTGGAATTGAAAATGATTTTGCGAAGAATGGTTGGTAAAATATTGTTATAGTGACTGTATACAGAGTGACCTATTTAAATCGACCTATTTGAATGTCTTCGAAACTATTGATAACACAACAAATATGTTAAACGAGAATTTGATCATTTCAAAGAACACGTAATCTCATATAAATAATTTCTTACTATACGGATGCGTGGAAAATATGTGAAAATCAATTTTGTTCTTTTTAAGTGGAATTCTATATATTTTTTAATGCAACAATCGACACACCTTATTATTCGCTAGATATAAGTGCTAAGGCACTTCAAATAATTGGCATTTTTGTGAAAAATTGGTACTTTCGAAACCGCCTGAAATTAATGTTCGTTTTATTTATTTCATCGAAAAACATATGTATATTTGTTTTAATGGCACAATGCTGTCACCAACATTGATGTAGATATTTTCGATACCACAATCGCACTTTTAAGAAAATCTCTACCACACATATTGCTGTTTCCACCATTTTTAAAAATCGTTCAATGAAATCTTTGCGATTTACTGTTAGAAGCATATAATTTCGAATGATAATAATATTTACAGAATACAATATAAAGAGATATATTAAAAATAAAAGAATAAAATAAGATACAATACTATACATGATTACTGACATATATAAAAAGCATTGAATGTAATCCTACTTTTATCGTTCGTAGACATATGAAACCATTTAATAGACGGAGAATTATCCCCACCAATTTGTAAAAATGCACGGACCATTCTCTAAGCATCACTCACACTTAATGTTTCTTGCTCTCATCGTCGGGGCACTCAAGAAGCAAGCGAGCCGAGGGAAGATAACAATCGTCAATTTCCAGAACACCTACATCGGTATTCGAAAAGTAAAGTCACTTGTTGATCTGCGCAAATTTCTATGCTTTTCTGGCAAAAGAAATGTGGAAGTATCCTTGAATGTTTGTACATTCACTTTTGTACAAAACACGTAATCGGATAATAATGTTAATTTAACAGTTATAATCGAAGAAGAGCTGGAAAGTTTTGCCTCTAATGTGATACATTTCACGCGTTGCATATCATATATACTTTTCTTGCAAATACTTTTGTATAAAAAAACATGTAATGTTTGTCCAATGCTCTTTCTCATAGAGTAAGTCGAGGATGGGTGATCCACATTTTTTAAAGAACTGCTACATAACAAATATCATTAATTCCTAACAAAAAATATATATTAATAAACGTAACTGCGTATAGGAAGAATAATTAAATACACATTTGTGCAAGATTTCAGTGTGCCACTAAAAGCAATTGAAAATATAGATATTCCACAATCTATAATAAATAAACCACTTTACTCAGAATTAATTTAAATATTTTTATTCATAATGGAAAGATCTGAATAAAACTGATTCTGTGTAGTTAAATGGCATCTTCTCTTTATTCTGCATGCCCTTAAACCTTTGTGACCAGGTATTTCCGAAAGTATTAATTTTATTTCCTTTCTTTATCATGTTCTACATACAGTCTTCGCAAAGTGCCAATACTAGCTAAAGCGGAAATTTCAGTGTTATTTTTAAATATGAATGGTTGAATATTACGAAATATTGAAGCGACAAAAACAATGTTTATACGAATGTTGTTTGGTTTGAAGAGAGACATTGCAAATGATTTTTGTGTAGACGCCATAGTGGAGGAGATTTCAAAGTCAAGTAAATTTTTTTAAACAAGAATCTTACATGTTTTATCTACCGCGTCATAGCGGATGTTAAGACGAATTTAACGATGCTACATTACGTCATTTCACATGATAATGCTATAAATCAATAGAATCTAGTTTTCATCGAAGTGTATCGAATGGTGTCGGTTAAAGGAGGATTTCGTAACTTTACTGTGCTTTCGTGCCAGATTGATTCAAACGCTAGCCAAATCTGTTTGCCATGGAAAAAATGTTAATGCTGTAACGTACAGCCATCGAGAGATGACTTGATGTCTAGCGGAACAGCCTAAGGGCAAGAGGTGTCTTCCTAGTTTATAGTTTTACGGTTGTGATTGATTACGTGTCATCGCATCGGCGAATAGAAAATTAGCTACCGGAAATATTAGTGATCAGGAAATAAAACTAAGAGAAAATTGAGTAAGGAAAGATGAAACTGATCGATCAGCCGCATTCCTCGGCCTAGCCATTGAGTGATCTAGCAGTACATAAAAAAGTGAAATTCAATCATTCACATTTAAGATATTGACCGCCATATGAACCAAATAAGATTCACACTACATTTATTCACGTGTGCGTCACGTGGCATGAGAAGACGTTTTTACCGACTGAACCCAGCGGTGTACACGTGATTCGCACTGTAACACTAGATTTACGAAACGAGTCAATTTAATTCATGTTGAATTTTATACACATTATTTAAATCTTTATGCCGATTTTGATTGACGCAGTTGCGCAAACGTGTATCCTAACTGTCGAGTTTTATACTTCTAATTTCCAAGAACTAAATCTCGAGGACGATAACTGTCCAATAAATGTCCGTAAATCTAACGTCAGAAATCTACTTAGTTGCGTGAAATAGATACAAAACCGTAATATATGATTATTTTATGTCGCTTTAAGCAATTTACAGAAAATAGGTGGTGGGCGGATCAAAATTTTGTTCAACATTACGGCGTTCAACGTGTAGAACGTGACACCCAGTATACTTACGCGCAAGTCCGCAGCCAATAATCCTTTTCGTTAATATACCTCCAGACGTTCATACTTTTCACGATACTCTGATCTTGAGGAAAGGAATCGAGTTCCTGGCGCGTTTTGTTCGCCTTGTTATTCGAACCACGAGAATCCACGAACTGTGTCACCAGGCCGCCTTTGGCTACGTAGTTGATCGCGTATTTAATCATTTCTTCCCCCACGGGGGTGTCCTTGGTCAAAAACGCGTCCATACAGTCAGCCCATGCAGCGCTCGTCTCCATCCACTTTTTTACCCAAGGAAAACATTTTGAATACTGAGAATGCTGTTTACATATGAATTCCTTCAAAACCCAGTGGACCCTGCCTTCCAAACTGGGACCTAAGACTGGCTTGATCTTATCCACATACTGGCCACACTTGCCAAAATCGAAGCTTCCGTTATTATTCGAGCAATATGTATCCTGGAAGAATATTTAGTATTGAAGTTTTTTTCAAAAATGCCAAGTACAAGGACTGAAAAGAGCTTTCAATCAATTTGGACTTGTTACAGTGGGAAATATGATTGGAAAGTGACGCTTAGTAATTCTATCGAATATATGTACCTCATACATGATTTCAATTTCTTTTACATATATTACAAAGAACTACACTTTAAACAAGTTTCTTCTATACAGAATAAGTCATATAGTGTTACAAATTATAACATTATTACGAAAAATTGTTCTAAGGAAGCTGATAGGTGGTCGGAATAAATGGGCATTTTTTAAATGGTTTTTTTAATGGTATGCCATAATTTGTTCTTATTTAAGTTGCGTTTATCAAAAAATAATAATGAATAACTTAGGCTTCAATAGTTTTCTGATATTCTTCATGATCAGCGATTCGTAACAAAAGATATTCTTAAGGAGTGAGTCCGCGAAGAGAAATGAGTCTAGACTTCAACGTCTCCAGGATATCTCTGCGTATGTAACCCTTAGAAATTTCCTCCGTCAGAAATCGTTAATCACGAAGAATATCAGAAAATTGTTCGAGCAAATGTTACTTACAAGGGAAGTTATCGAACCCGGAAATTCAAAAAATGATGAAACTTTGTGTAAGTAGAGTAAGTAAAGCCTAATACATTGCAATTTTTTTCGTATCGAATTTCACTTTGAAGGAGTGAAACCGCCCCTTGAAAAAAATGCAAATTTTTCTTTCCCGTAGATTATATTGCGAACGGTAAGAGGTAGCGAAAAAAGTTTAAACAAAAAATACGTTATTCTTTCACGTCCATAAAATTGCAAAATAAAATTTTTCAAAAAGAGTCGCTGGTACAGGTATTTTGATAAATTTGTAATTTTTGGTTCCATTTTGTATTCCATTTAACCTATCTACTTTTTTAAACTATCGAATCTTATTTTGTTCCACTTCAAGACAAAATTAAGTTAATATGAATAATTAGACGTAAATCGTAACAAAACGCTGAGGTGATAAGATAATCCTCATCTCTGAATCAAATAATTAATTTATTTTATAAATTAATAAGACTATCATTGGTATGGAAAACGGTACAATTCAATCGGCTGCAAAATTTAAAATATTTTTGTTAATAGAAATTAAGATATTATATTTTGTACAGTTCTTACATAAAGAAAGTACTTTACACTATTTATTAAATTAATATTTTTTATACTGCATGAGTAACAAATGTAGCTCGAAATACTTTTCTCCCTTCATTTCTAGTTATTCTACTTTTTGCACTCACTACTTATAATTTTGATGACATTAAAATACATAGTGATCTATGTTAAACTACGAGACGATCTTGATCCGACAATAAAAGTTACCGACAGAAGTCTAATATGTTTTGGCCACTCTACTATATCATTCCTGAAATAGAAAAATATCTCAGAAGAATCTCCTCCCAGGTTCATATGACACAGTTCTTACGCTCTTGGAATAGAAATTCAAATGGTGAACGTGAGAAATGTACGTTACAAAACATATTGCACCCAAGTGCTTCATACAAGGAAAGAAATTCCTCTACTATGTATTTCTGCACAGGATCCTCCTTTTATGTTTCCTAATGAAATTTGCACTGCAACTTTTCGAATTTCTCATAAGCTCTCTGCTCAATTTCACAGAATTTCAACCAAAAACTGATGTTCTTGGAAAGTTTCCGAATTTAGCATTCAATGAGGATACGCTTCTTCGCTTTGGTTTAACTAATAACTTCTTTAACACTGAAATTACCAAATGAGTCGAAATGGCTGATTTTGGATTTTTCTTTTTATAATTATAATAAAAGAATATATATATTTATTTTGCAAGAAATTTATTGATACGCATTTTAAAAAATAAAAGAATTGAAATTTCAGTGAACGTATTCTTATAGTTTATAAAAAGAACATGCAAACCATTTAATTTTATTGCTAACGTAAAAGAAATATTTACTTTATACTTAAGAAAAGTAAATAACATTTAGATCTGTCAAATTTAATTTAAAGTTTTCATCGCGAGTCTGACACGATGTCATAAGGCGAAGGGTTAAAAAGATAGTTAAAAAGAAGCTACCCTAATAAAGAAAGTAAAAAACGAGACTGTATAATATTATAACATGTTAAATCAATACGATATTAGTAACAAATAATTTGCAGTTCTTTGTAATTTACACTTTTGTAGTCAACAGTAGCGTATTTGAAGTAACTTGGAATTTTATTTTTTGTATCAGTAATTTTAGTAGGTTAGAGATAATATAAAAATGACTGAGATATCGTGAAAATTGTTATCTGATAACGCTTCAATAAACTTTATAAAACATAAACGCGTAAAAAATATACAGTCTATTGAAATTTGAAGAGAATTTCTAATGTAAAGCTCTAATACTAATTTTATATTACTGATTCACATTACCACGAACGTTTTGTCAGTATTGTGTTGCGCACATAATAATTCTTCAGACATTTCACGACACCCTCTATATATGCATGTATATATACATAAATGTATACATATACACAAAATACGTTTTCGGTAATTGCACTGTAATAATTATAACGTTTTAACAACCATTTTACAAAAACTATATTGTACGACGTGAAATTATCTCTGAAAGTTTTCCATGAAGTTGATTACGTACCACTTATTGCTTTCATTACTTTGAAAAGTCCTTGTCCGCAAAGGATTGAAACACAACAATTTCATATGTTGCAGCTTCTATTTGTATCGCGTAATATATTACACTCTCTTACCGTCAATAGAGCTTCCGCGACAGCAATATCGTAATCCAACATCATTTCGCATGCTCACCGAACACAGAAACCAAACCGGACATCGCTTTTCCAAGGAAAAGTTTATGGTAAACCGATTTCGGCTGCACGGGCTAATATCGTTAACACGAGACTGGGGTCGCGTAGCAAAATTGAGGGTCCAGCAAATATGCTAATGTGTTTTGGCTTAAGTGCGGTGTCTCGTGAAGGCGAGGGTCCTCTCGTAAGGGATGGAGAGATGAAAAAGAGAAGAGATGCATGTAGCCGAGTAAAAGGTCGATGTGAAGTTATACATGATATTAATTTTACATACATATATCTAAGGTGATCTTCGCCTTAGGTGAATGTCACATATAACATCAACTATAAGATGAAATTATATTGCTTAATGGTGCACTCCTTTAAATGTTATTTACTTCTGATGAAAATTTTATGTGTGATTATGATAATTCGGCTCAATGAAAGATACATTTCTGTACTTTTGCATAGACATTTCTTGTTCGAATACAGAAATATATAGACTGTAATAGATTGTAAGAGTAAAAATCTCAAGTATTAGTTTAATGTTACAAATATCTACGTGTGCATATATTGGTATTACACTTGAAAATAATGAATATTAGAAATAATAAATTTGTTAAAAATATTAAAATACTATAAATTATGAAAATTTACGATATCGCAGAATAAGAGAATCGAATTCTTAAAATAAAGGGAAAGAAGAACGACAACAAAAGCGAAGCATCTTAGCAAAAAGCAAATACATATTATACATTATCTTTACGTATTATACTTTATTTAAGTATGTATGTTATTAACGTGTAATTTTATACATTTTTTTAAATATTCACTCGCAATTAGAAAATACGAAAAGGAACAAAAACGCAATTAAGAAAGGTGTTAAAAGAAGTCAAGAAAGTGTTATAGTGATAGGAGAAAGTAAGCGAAGAAGTCGGAAGGAGGAGCCGAAATAGAAACAATCGAGAAATAAAATGCAGGGGAGAAAGGAGAACAACAAAAAGAGAAAAGAGACCCAAAATCGGAGCCTGGTAAATGTCAAGAAAGGAAGTATGTAAAAGGGATGAGCACAGAGAAAAAGAGGAGGATGGAGATCGAGGATTCCTCGATCCAGAGTGAGATAGGCGTAGCCCATTCACACAGCAGCTCCGCGGAAATCAATACTTGTGACGCCGAGACACAGCATGACAACCCCCGCACCGTACGGTGTGATATTTCAGGAATCTAGATAGGCATAATTACAATTGGATTTTTTAATGAACACTGTAACTGTTAGTCCTACACTGGATTCTAATAACGAAGAATTACCCAGACCTTGCGAAATATGTGTAACTCTAACATCAGTTCTCATTTTTTTTTCAAAGTCCTAACCCAGATATCGAAAATCGATCGACGAGTAATTTGGCTAGCAATTTTGCAAAGTAGAAAAAGTAACGTGTCATTATCTGTAGAATCTTTTTTATGCTTTTTGCAATTTATCAATTTGAATATAAATGAAATACTTGTTAACACTCTGTAACACAGTATAACGTGTTAACAGTTAAAATAATAGTTTTGACATTATTAACTAAACACAGGTATTATCTTGCCATACAATGACGAGTGAGACTCGTGATGATTTTTAGATTAATTTAGCAAAAGTCAATGCTCCTCGTAGCACGTGGATCGAAACGAAAAACAGTTCTGCTATTTTCCATAATTCAGTAATTCCGTAATCAATAATTTTGAAGTAGTAACTTCAAAGTTATTATGTACTTACAATAAATGAAACATTGCTTCGCATTTCTTGGAAATTATTGACGGTAAAATTAATTAGTCAAGTTTAGTTGCAAGAAAAATCAAATGGAATGAGGTTAACCCATTCGAGACTAGGGTTTTTTTCAATGATAACCATCAAGAGCCAAAACTCGAAATCACCACTTTCACCATTACTGTTCATTTCCTGTGATCCCAACGATCCTGATTGTGGGTTACTTCTTCTGAGCTCTTAGCTTAAAACTGATACAAATTTTCATTTTTTCGCATCTTTAATTTCTACTACTAACTACATAATAAAGTAAGCTACATGGTTCTTCACAACTGATAATAGAAATTCATGATCGTTAGACACGCCGTATGATGGGTCTTTTTGGGCAGGTACACCATTACACACCTGGTGCGTAATTTGTCTCGAGTGGGATAAGTAATTATTGTAGTACAAAATTAGATTAAGCGTGATACTATGTTGGACAGTATAACTTTACTTTGTTTCTACATTAATAAACTTAAATTGTGGTTTAGTGATAGAAATATTTTAGTAGAATATTTTCATTTTCTACGGAAATGAACATTATGTTTTTAATTAATAATGTGTTTGCTCATATTTGGGTCATTTTCGAAAATCGAGCATTTGCTTATGACCAGCTACGTTTCTAAAATGTCACGCTGTACGTCAATAATATTTCGGGAGTGCCAACTGTTACAGTGAGAAAGGTTAAGAGGTTATTGCAATAAGAGGGTCGAATATGAAATTTGAACAGGCGGAATAAAGTACATAGATATGTACCTATTTAAATACCTATGTGCAAACCGAATCCGCTTGACGTAGGTAGAACGCGTGTCCACTAACTTTCTCGGTCCAAAGGACAAATTGTCCACGTTCGGGAACATTGTGATTGTAGGCGGTGGCGAAGAATAGATTATGCGCAAATTACTCGGTTCGAGAATGGATTGATAATTTTAATCAATTGAATATACTGATCGGTATTAGGAAAAAAATTGAATATACATAACAAAATAAATATTGATTTACTTTCTATTGCATAATTTAAATTATAGTGGTTTTCTTGAATTTCTTCCATAAATAAGGTGTAACTTAGTAAAATAATGACGATATATTATTTGTATTAAAATGTCTCCTAAACTATTAACTTTAAGATATAAATACGTTAATACTTTATTAAAACAAACAAAAATGTAGATACATATAAGTATGAAAGATATACAAATAGAATCCTGTACAAATTAAACAAAGTGATGAATACATTATTAACAACACAGAAGAGATAAGAAATACATAAAAAGAATTAAAAAAGTAAGAACCTATAAGCAGATAAATTAACAAATAAATAAATAGAGAAAGCACATCAAAATTTAATGGAGAATAACACATTAAACTGAGGATAACATGCAGACACATACTCACGGACATCTATATCATCTATTTATCTATGTATATGTATAATATAATATATACTTTTTAAAAGTATATAATTTTTAAAAGTATATATAGAAAATTAAAAAGTTGACTAAAAGATCCAGAGAAGAAAGAAGAATAGAAGGAAGAAAAAAATAAGAGAATAGTGAGTGAAGTACTCTGAATTACTTTGTGAATTCTAGTTTTAAATACAGATTGACTATATGCTTATAATATATAATATGTTACATTATTAGATGCTCTCAACCATGAATTCTTGAATGAATCCTATGATAAAAACTTCAAAAATACATTTATTCATGCTGACACTGACCTTTAGCCAAAACTGTCTCAAGTTGTAACCACCTGGGGGATAGCTATCGAAAAACAAGGATGAGTCACCGTACAGCCCATCCCTCACAGAAAGCCGAAATCGCAACCCTTATCAACTCACAATCCATCAAAATCTGAAATTATCTTCATAATTATGAACAGTATTGTCTCAAGTACGATGTATTCACTTTGTAAAATATTTAAAAAATATAAATAAAGGAGAGTATAAAAAATATAAATAAATATCGTGTAATATACTGCAAATAACAATGTGCACAGAATTAATTTGATTTTCTATGCATAAAATGTGAAATCCATATCAAGAATATCTTCGTTTGAAGAGATCGATCCCCAGCAACTTTGAAGTTACGATTAAACTAAAAAATAATAAAATTAAAAAATTAGAATTAACAATATTACAAAATTAGAATTTTTCATGCACGTATTACTTTTTCAAACGAAAATATCCCCTTAACAAACCATTTGTATTACAAGAATGTTGTTTATCATGTTGAAAATAAGAAAATAACGAAAAATAAAAGGATATTATACAAGACATTTTAATGTCTCACTTGCATTTGCAACGCACGAAATAGAAATACATAAAATATTTACAAATCTCAACACACAGGAAGTGTTATTCAATATAAAATTGTTTTTAAATATCACCGAAAGGATAGCTGTGTGAAATCATTTTATTTTATTTAAAATTTAATTAGTTAATTAATTTATTTATTTTTATTTATTTATTTTCATTTTTTATCCAAAATTTTATGTATTTATTTACAAACGATAGTATTACAGATTCGTATCAAGAATATTAAAACCAAGTGAAACGGAACTTTGTTCTGGCTAGGCGATTTAACTCAACCGCTTTATCCCTGAATCAGGTATACACGTCCAATGACGCAAATGAGCATCCCCTTGTTTTAATACTCCAACAAACGGGCATTTAGAACGTTATCGAACCATTCCACGTCAAACTCTTGCTCGTTTATCTATAAATTTAGGAAACTGGTCATTGTCTTTCATAAATTGATACGCACAAATATTTTAATACTCCTCTACACAATTGTTTTCTTTAAAAGTTTCAATACCATCTCGGTTTATAGCAAAATATTATATTTTTAAAACAAGAAAAAAAATAAATACCATTATTCGATTAGAAAGAAGTGATGATTGTAAAAATTATTTATAGTGCCGCATACAGTAGATACACTTGTCCACGTGCAGTAATACATTCCGTGAAATTGAACCAAATAAAATACAATTTTAGAAAGACTACCGAATTACCAGAGAATGCATTACAATTTTCTTGCTAACCATAATTATTTTAAACAATTGAAAATGATAGAAATTACGCGTGCATTATTACGATCACATAATCGAATACATAGTTACTACAAATTGCATAAGATGAATTGTAAACTTTGCAAGGCTTTATACTATGAGTTGCACAGTAGTTCTTTGCATACAACCGCGAATCAATAGAGGGAACAATTTTGGTTGGTAGATAGTAACGTAGCAACAATTCGATTTCGGAAATTGAATCAGAAGTACACAACGAGGGTTAATCATTAATAGACGTTTATACGCGACCGTAACCAGAACCGAGGATCTTTTGATCTTTCAACCCCTCTGTCGGCAATTCCATTTCGCACTTTGAACCTTTCACCTACGATACATGACGGGAACACGGCTTCTATCGTACAAAATTCGAATATCAAAGTTTCTGTTTAAATAGAAGGTATAATATTTAACGTGGAACAACAATAATATTGTTGTTGGATATGTGAACATAATTTCGTAGAAAAATCAGGTCTGAAGGTGTTTATAAACTTTGAGTAAGAAAGACTGCGAAAGCAAAGTTAAGTTTTATATATTTTTAAATTTATATCTGAACAAAAGCACAGCAAAAGTTACCAGCGAAGACATCGGAAAGAAAGACACAAAAGAAGTTATCTACATTAGATACAAATAGCGCTTTGAAAATTTGACTTCGCTTATTGATGTGCGATTTGTTTCATGCTTCATGATTTTGCTTTCAATTTATGTTCTGATATTTCAATCGTTAATTGTTTTAATTTATGTGTTTATATATATGTATTTAAATACGTATTAAATACGTGTGTTTAAACAGAAATCGCACAGTAGACCATTTGGAACATCTGACAATAAGTACAATGCAATATTTCGAATTATTTTCGTATTTTTATAATCTTAAATTTATTAAATCGCATAACAACTAAACTAATAGAATCACAAAACATGCTAAAACTTGATTATGCGTGTGTTCAACAAATTAAGCTATTTCAAACTAACAGTCTCTGTAAATAAAGTGTCAACGACGTTATGGGATGTTAACTATTTATTCTGATATTCGTATGAAGAATGTTACGCGAGGAGCTAGGTTACGTAAAAGTCATTTGTTATATCGTTTGTTTTCGTTATAGAATAGTAAGTAATATTATAGAAAACATTAGGAATTCTTGTAGCAGTGAACGTGTTAATAGTCGTTTGGTAAATGAAGTGCTATCCATGTGGTGGAATGTGAACCACTCGGAATATTAACTATCAATGTTATGAGACTAGACTGCGGTACGGTCATTGCTCATAAATCAGTCCTACGAGTGTGACTTGCGGGAACAATCATATGTAGCGATGGCCAGTAAAACGGGGGAAAAGTGGCGCGGAAAAGCGCGGATCAATATCTTCGATTCTAAACGAGCACAGCGCTGCTTCCGGCGCGAAATACGCATGTGCAACGAAGTCCGAACTCCCTGGTAGCGACAAGATTTCCTCGAGAATCTCTTTATCATTCCTTCTTGTCATCCTTTGACAGCCTTTGGTAAGTTCCGACGCATTTAAATACACAACGCAAGTAATTCGCAATACTCTGATTCCATTGAGCTGATGTTACTGAAAATCAGTTTTCAGATTCACAACAAACGCCATATGCGTGTACGGAAGATTGTCGAGACACAAAATTGTCTTCGAAGCTTATGAAAATCATTTGACCGTTTTCAAACTCATTTATTTTCCCTTTAATGCTGATATTCTTGCCCCCTTTCTGCATTGTATAATTGTTACTATTAATTAAGATTAACTTGAATTTTCTTAGAATCATATTAGTGTTGTATAGTATTATTTGTTTAGAGAAATCGATTTTATATAGTACTAGCGAAATGAAAATCTTTAAAAAGAGAAGTCACGTAATTAAATTGCACAGAAAAGTTAATTAAAAAATATTGTAAAGCTATTAGTGGGAAATGAACTATTATATGAAAGTCTTTTCTAAATATCATTACAATAATTACTTAATTCTAGCAAATTCTCGGTTTGCGTTATACGCATTATTTAACACAATTACTATGTAAAACATGGATTTATGTACACACTTGTCTACATTCCTAGTAACTGAGGATCTTTATTGTACAAAAGAATGTCTTTTACATAAATTTCCTTGTTGGAAACGCTTAATATATGATACATACACATGCATTGTTAATTTTTAGGCACAGGATCTTAAAACCATGTATTGGACTCTATTTTTCACAACAGTTGCTGCTGCTCAAGTAACTGTATATCTACCAGCTACGATTAAGGTAATACTCGAATCCCTGTACCCAATATATGCAACCAGATTTGAACATTATTAAAATTATTTCGGATACGTACTTAACTAAGATAATTAGACGAACTCTTAATGTGTACATTTTATGTGTTTATTCAAATAATTCATCTTTACGTATTCGAATAATTTAGTCGAATTACAATGCAAATAACTTTGAACGAATATTCACTAATTCGACACCTAGTTTTTCGACGTAATACGGTAGTGCCTTCTCTGGTACTTGTGAAAAGACAAATTACAGAATACGTAAAAAATAGTAGTACTTAAATAATTGTTCGAATAAATAGTTGCTCAGCTAACTATTTATCCATTATACAATTTTGTAATGCATACATAATTTTCGTCGAACAAAGTTTCGCTGTTTTGAACCAAAACAATGCCGAAACTCTTCATCAATCCTAGGAGGAGCAATTTCTGACCAACAATTTGCTTCGTGAATGGATCAATCAAATGGGAGACGAATTTGCAGGCATTGCTGACATGTACATGGAATATCAGGATAAACCGAAAGAAATTCCGGTCGAACTGCCGGCCGACTTTGACGGCATGGACACATTGAATCCTAATCCCAGCATTCGCGATCAAGAGTACTTGCAACACAGCTCGTTGTGGAGTCATCAGCATATAAATAATAATAAAGAACCAAATGGTAGGCAAAGAATCAAGCCCGGAAGCATAAAAAACATGAAAGATGAGAAAACTGAAAATACGCTGCCGACATATTGCGCGCCACCGAATCCTTGCCCCGTTGGATATACGAGTAAGTTATGATAAAGACGAAGGATCGCATCCTTGCGCCTTGATTGAATAGTAAACAGTAATACAGTAAATTCACAGAGTCAAGACAAGAACAAAATGGTCTAACATATCTGAAAATCGAAAAATGTTACATTTTGAAACATATTTCATGGCGTCCTGTGCTATTCGAAATTTCGATTATATTTTATATAGAAAGTATATTGATTCTTTTGATAAAATTTTCAATTATATTTGAGTTTTTGGTCATTTTTCTGTATCTTGATGTTGTGTCTTTACGTTTTTGAGTAGAGTACCGAAGGTGTCTGAAAATCTTAACACAAGAACTATCAGATTGATTAAAATGACCCATTTCGAATTTCTTCTTTTACGGTTATTGGAAAGGTGCAAGATTTTTCTGAGAAAATTGAAAATAAATTATTTTATCAATATATATTTTAATATATAATATCGCAGAGACATTTTAAACGCAACATTGTATGATAGTATTTCCATAATGTTACAGCAATATTATATATAATTAGTTACATTCTTTATTTTATAAAGAAAAGAATTTGCTTTATACAGGTGAAAACAACTGCATCTTAACTTTCGTAAATACTGCGGAATTCAGCCGAGAATACCAAAATGCGCAAGACTGCATGTGCGACACAGAACACATGATGCACTGTCCTGTTGATTCTACAAATAGTAACAGTCTACCAAGCATGCACATACCGAGTTCTAACTTCAATGAAATCGTTGATCAAATTCAAGCAGTAAGATATGCTCTTCGATTAATCGTACATAATACTTCGATTATTTTAACCCCTTGCCGTACAATGACGAGTGAGACTCGTGATGAAGATTTTTAAAGTAATTTAACAAGAATCAATGTTGTTCATTACCCACGGATCAAAGCAAACAACTATTTTGCTATTATCAATATATTATTTTCAAATGAAATTTCCACCTCAAGTAGAATGGAAAATTTTGTTGTATTTCTTATAAATTGTCGATAGTAAAATATTACACGAGCTTAGTAAAGAAGGTAAATAGTACGCCAAGGGGCTAATCATTAAAATCATATGAAAGACTTGCTAATATAGTTGCAAATGACAAAAATCATTGGAAAATTAGACACATATGTGGCGTTAATTTTGAAAGTGGGCTAAAAAATATTTTTATGCTATGTAACAAAGTATTTCAGAAAATATTTACTCTTGAATGAGAATTTATTATGACTGTGTAATGTTGTGTGCAACTTATAAAAGAATATGATTTATGATGCTTGAAATAACTTAGACCATTTTCAAAATTAAGAGCACGTATCATACATTGTGTAAAAAATCCATTTTATTTTATTATTGATTGTATGCTACAAAAATTTTCATTTCAGGAAGAAAATCCGTTTTTCAGAGGTGAGAAGTTACCTATTGCAGCAAAAAAAGGTATAAATGTGATGTACTAAGGGACGTGAATTATTCATAGAAAAAAGGGTTTTAAAAAACGAACCAAGAATATTAAATTAAAATATTTCAAAGTATATCGATCGTAATCCATCATATCTGTAACCCATTAGATAAATAATATGGTTCATAAAGGTCAGGTGCTAATTAAGATTATAAATATTTTAATATTGTGCTGTTACTATGGATGTAATGTGATAACCTAAACCGGATGAACACATGATTTACATAATACGAGTTTTTCTCTCAAAACCGATCATCATTGTTCCAAAGATAATTATGTACCTGTATGAGTACACAAAAAAATCATAGATCATGTGAACAGTATGTATTCAAACATGAATTAAATAACATCTTACAAATATATTGTTTTTGAAAACTGTATAGTCTATGTAGTATAAAAAGATATATGTTGAAATTATAAACATTTTAAAAACTATTGTTTTTCTATGAACGATAAATATTATTTTCGAGACGATGTTAAATTATATATCTCTTAAAAAATATACTTCTTAATCCATTGTGAATAACACCAGATGGTTTTTACCCCTTGTATTTAAATGAGAAGAAACTACCCAAATAACTCGTTTAAGTGTGCTGTAATTATTAATTGTACCTTTACCTTCATAAGACAATATAATGCCTATTAACAATTTCATTATTTACATTATTCAAAAATATATATATATATATATATACATTTTAAAATAATGGATCACATTTATTTCACTGCATACAAAATATTTATAAATTATGTACAAAAACTGTCACCCTACTCTTTACATATAATATTTGTACAACAATTGCATAAAACTGTAATTTTATACTAAGTTCCTGCTATGTATTAGTCAAGCTACAATTTCTTTGTTCGCTATTAATAAAAAACACTTTTATATAAATTACTAATAATTAACAGATATTGTAATAATAAATTATATTTATGACATAATTTAAACACCTGATTAGAACACCTATTTAGCAAATGCTGAATTTCAGACACTATTATAAAATTATTGTATATGTAAAAAAGTACTAAAAATTCAAAATGCTATTACTGTTTCCTAAAACTTTTCAAAATTGGATATATATTATTTAAAGCGTCTTGTAATTCAGTTCGATTCTTTGCTCCTACAATGAGAAATCAAACATAGCAAATATTCAAGAAACAAAATATCTGTTTTACATAATACTTACCTGTTAATACAATTTTTCCATTTACAAATATAAGTAGCACAACTCTTGGTGATACCATTCTGTATATAAGACCAGGATAAAGTTCAGGTTCATAACTAGAGAACTGACCATGTATGTGATTTAAGTTTTCCAATTTAATTGGAAATTTTAAGTCACAAGTTGCAACTATATTTTGTATTTTAAAGTTATAAAATTTTACCTGTTGGAATACAGAACACGATAAAAACTCAGTAACAAAACATAAATTTTCATTTTTATATTATATTAACTAAAATTTACTTAATGTATCTTACTGCAAATCCTAATTTCTGAATTATTCGAGCGAACTTCCTTGTCGCCAAATAGGAATCTTCTTCACATCTGGCACCAGTACATACTAATTTTCCAGAATGAAAAATTAGTGCAGTGGCTCTAGGGTTACGAATCCTCATAATCAAACCAGTAAACCTTGCTGGATTATATTCAGAGTTTCTAGTTCTTGTATTAATATACATAAGTGCTAATTCTACACCTAAATTAACAGTTGAAACTACATTCCTATAAAAACAGATTATGCTTGTATTAATCACCATAAACATATCTTGAAACAAATGAAAGGCTTAACTATTATTTATAAACTACACGTAAAGCTAAATATATTATTACAACACTCATTTATACAAAAATATTTGTATCATAAAGAAAAAAGAATCTTGTAGGATTATAATTTTTTTCACTTACTGTAAACAAGGTTCTATGACTTCTTTTGAACTATTGACTGGTGTCATTGGATTTATCATTAACTGTGGATTCATATTCTGCGATGTACTTGGTCGAGGAACATTGGTCTATGTCAAAAATATAAAAACAAAATATAAAATTCACATGTCACATTATCCAAACATATTTCTTAAATTACCGTTTGTGGCGGAGCCATTGATCCTTCCTCACAGGCATTTTTCGCTGGATTACCTAGTAACCTCTTTAATTCATTGTCGTCTTGCATAATTCCAGTCATTTTGTATGTATTTACTATTAAAGAATTATAAAATTGTTCTATCCACATAAACTACCATCCATTTTGAACACCCATTGTATCGGGATTATGTTCATACAACTGCGCCACCTACTTATATCCCTAATGCCTAAAACCATTAGTTTGACACTTCTGACACAGACAAGGTATAAGATAGACACTGCAACCTTATGGAACTCGGTGTCACATGTTCTGAATTACCGACTGTGTAAAAAATCAGAGGTTCTGCTCAGCTCTGTACGCTTAGAGGACGGTGAATAGGAAAACTACATCAAGCAAAATGATGGACGTTTACCGACCAAGTAGTAAATTTCGATGAATATTAAATTCAATTCATGTTAAAATGAAACTTCAATGGACTAGATGGTTAAATAAATTGTAATAGAATATCGATTTCATTAAATATTAAATAGATTGTAATAGAGACCATCATTTTCGGTGAATATTAGATTCAGTTTATGTTACATTAAAATTTCAAAGAAGGTTAAATAAATGGTAGTAGAACATAAATTCGAATGATTAGCGCGTACAAAACGAGACATCCAGTCAATAAGATTAACACTAGAACTACTGATCACTTAAACTGACTTTTACAAATTTCTTTATAAAAGTCATAAGCGTGCGCTTACTAAGATTTCAAGTGAGTTGTATTTCAGTTTTGCTATTACTGAATTAGTTTCGTTAATAATTTCTCGTAGAAATATCTGTACCTTTTCAGTAATTGTAAAAAAAGAAATCAGAAATAAGTCATTTTGATCGATCTGGTAGTTCTAGTGTTAAGTAAGCAGCCTATTTCATAGCTGCGTTTATAAATGAAAACCGTGGAGGGACTCTGACTTCGCATACTTTCTGGAATTCTATATTAAATCGAAGTGCATACCAAATATCCAAAAATCTGATGATCGCGGTTTGCTTCGCGGCACCCTCATTTCGCCCTTTTTAAATCAAAGACTTCTCTGATTTCTCTCATTGTCGAATCAAGGAATTTTTTTCTTGAATCAAGGAATTTTTTTCTTGATTCGATCCCTTTGCTTCTTGGCCCGATAACACTGTCGAACAAATTTTGACCTATGATAGTTTTTGCAAGAGTTCCTTACCCTAAATACGAATCCGAAAACTAAATTGCTACCAAATCTTAAATAATAAGAAAAGAATAACGATTGACAGAAATTCAAACACAATTGAACAAAAAGGGGAATTCAGAATTTAATTCTTGTTCACTTGTAATTAGATATCGCGAGAACCACCGCCCTGCGGTGCGTCTATCAAGATCTTTCGAATCGATTACATCGAGGTACGAGCATGGTAGAACTAACTAACGTGACACACGGCCCGATGCACTTGCAAACATGGCCAAGTGAACTGGAGAAGATGCAGACAGGCGAAATCAGAGAATGAAGCTAAAGAATAACTACTCGGCATATTTTACACAATTCGCAGCCATTGGCCTAGCTCCATCCTCGACAGGGACTACCCTGTCGGCGATGCTACTAGTTTCCAGGTCTACCACGTGGAGGTTGCTGCGAGAGAAGACCCAAGGGAGGTGGATGGAAATTCAATTCCATCGACCTCCGTTCCTACTTCTACATCTTATTTTAAACGCATTTATCGGTTTCGCACTTAAAAATAATCCCACGGCGGCTGTTTTCTTTCTTGAGTCTGAAATAAGGGAGTATCCCACGGCGGATGATCGACATCTTCTTTCGCACGCTTAATTCTAACGCAGTTCAGTCGCAACGCTTCGCTTTAATTGTACAATCATCGCAGTGTAGGGAGAGAATCAAGGAAGAAGTCCTTGATTCGGTCATTCGAATCAGAGAAGAAGTCTCTGATTCAGCAAAGCAAA